TTTTTGTCAAATAAATCTGTCATAAAGAATATTACTTAAAGTGGAATTCACCCTGCTTGTGCAAGATCTGAAACAGTATTCTTCAGCAAGACAAGTTATTGCGCCCAAACAAGGCCATTTGCTTTTCAAATCATTCCTAAGTTACCAACTTAATAATTTTGAATTAGACAAGACTTACCAGGTGGGGTGCCACAACACAGTCTCCTATCATCGATATGCTGCACATCAAGTCCAATAAACCAAGCTCCCAAAGAGACATCCTCGTTAGCGTACCTGTGTAGGACATGCCTGAAAAATGCATACAAAATTAGCATCACAAGTGCAAGAAGATAGAAGAAAATCTTTCAAACGGATACATGTATTTCAACATCTATCGGTGCATAAAGGTTGAAGCTTACTGGTTTATTGATATATACGTAGCCAAATCTTTTGAAATGGCATATAGCTGTCCTGTAGCATGACGGAAATACTTGTTTCCAGGTTCACCAAATTTCCAATACTCAGGTTCATGGTATCTCACTCCCCTGTATCACCAAATAGTCAGGCAAGGACTCAAAGTCAATTACTTTCTTAACAAATATCTGAACATCAGAGGAAACAAAAGAAAAAGAAAAAAACCAATTACAGGTGCTGGCTTACTTCTGTGCTAGAACAGGACCAGATTTCATGCATCCAATGTACAGGCGCTGTTTCTTTCGGTGTCTGACTAGAGTTTCTCCTAGTGTCGCTGCAGCAAATTGAAAACAGATGGGTTTAATGAGATAGATGATTAGATAATATAGACATGAAAGTTCATGAATTGCTCTAAAAAGACTAGGTACGCCGAAGTTGGCTCTCCGATAGGATCTTTCACACTTAAAAGAACAGAGTCAATTTGCATAAACTACCAATTCCGTAAACCTTGTATCCATATGTTTCTTATTTCTTTTAGTTTTTATGTCATTGCGCACAAAGGTACCGTAGAAAATCTATTTGTCATGTTCAGCACAATTTTAAATTACCTATATTTACGTGGACATCATCATCAACTTTGACATAAAAATCTGCATCCCACGTAGCAACAGCAGTAGCAAAATATATCTTTGTCTTGGCGGACAATTCAAGGTACCCTTCAACATGGTCCTGCGCAAGAGACATACATAGGAAGTCACAATCTATTCTCTCGGAATCAAAATAATGAAAATTTTATGTTCAAATAAGCTGTAAGCATACATGTGGAAACTAGGGGACAATAACAAGATTAACGAAGAGACATTACCAGCCTCAGGAGATCTCCATGCTTTCTGTCCTCTGCTTCTACAGCTCTGTCTAGAATACCTCCGGACGTGGCACTAGACAAGGAGGGGAAAAGCTTGTAAAATTATACTATCCAAATAAATCCATGACCTAGGACTTTTGTGATGGTTATTAAGTTGAACCTACTATGAAGGCTTGAAATTTATTTTAATATATACAAATATATTTTGGTTTATGATTGCATGAATACATCTCAAAAGGACCTACTCAAAAAAAGTTCACACTTTTCATGAAAATAGAGTGTCAATGATAGGGAATTGCATGAGATTGTAAACGGGGAACCAAGGAATTCTTGGCTTACATCAGCT